AGGGCCCATCCACCATAGCACCTTCATCACGGCGAGTACAGCTCCGGCAACACCAACGACCTCAGAAAGAATGTTAGCGTGCTCTGCATTGAAATGGTTGGGCTGACCCAGAATGGAACTGGTTTACGACTGGGCACAAATTTCAAAAAGACATTTGGTTTGTTTCCTACCTGGAGCTGCTTTCCACCAAGCAGTAAATCAGCTGTTCAGCCCGGCTGGGTTTGAGTACCAAGGAAATAATTCTTTAAAAATTTTTTTTTTTTTTTTTTTGAGAAACCTGGCTTTCACAGTCGGGAAAAAGCAGCAGAAAATACTGTGTCGCTGGTGGATGGGGGTGAAGCAATTGCATTTATTCTTCGTTACCCACTATCGCTCTTTAGCTGTAAAACTGGCACCTAAAGCATGTACATTTAAGAAGCAGACGATGATACCGGGACAGCCTGGTGCCACGCACTTTTGACCAGACCAAGTGTTCGCTGGCTGCAATGTCTGGCTGTGCTGGCCAGGAGGCAGGGGTCGGCTTCGGCACGGCACGGTGGGCACTAGCGGCACGGCACAGGTCCCGCAGGTGGGGGCAGATTATCCGGCCCTGGTGCTGTTGGGCATCCTGGAGTGGGCGGCCTCCCTCTGCAGCGCTCCGGAAAGAGGTGTAAAAGCGTGGGATGATTAATTTGGCCCTAAAGAGAAAGAAAAGCGTTGCTGATGGCGGGGGCACCAAATTAGCACTCGTACCTCTGTGTCTTCACTGCGTGGTTCTTCTCACCAGTGTATGAATTGTGACCACCATGCACGTATCTCCAGCTTGCTGCCAGCTTCCCACTGTGAGTTCCCCGGGAGCCCCTCGAGGGGATGGGCTCTGCCCGGTCTGTCCCTGGCACAAAGCCCTGCTCTCTTCTGAGAGGAGGAGAAACAAGTCAGGAGAAGGAATGATATTAAAGATGGGACGGAGCAGAATCCCCTCCTTGTGACCACTAAGGCTTGAAATCCCGTCTATCCCCTCCAGCCTCCCCAGCCCTGCCCTGTGGCTCAGCCCCGGAGCTCACTGCAGCCCCTGTTTCCCCACCACCTGCCACAGGGAGAACTGAAACCAGGCTCAGAGGCTCGCTGTTGCCTGAGAGCACGCTGCTGTTTGTACCTGGGCTGCGGGGAGCTTGGGGGTGCTGGTTTTAATCATGACCATTGGAAAAACGAGAGGTTTTTATCATCATAATTACTGCAGTGGGACAGCTTTGGGGAAAATGCAATTTGGTGCTTGCTCCCCAGTAGCAAGGCTGATATAAAGTTGCTGCTGTTCTAAAGCAGAGAGCGGGAATCTGATGCTAATTAAAATCAATTCAGGAAACCCACAGAACAGGCAGGAACAAGGCCTTTTGTCCTGGGTGCCCATTTCATAGACCTTGGAGCCTCCAGAGTGGTGCGTTGGCTGTTTTCTTGGCTTCACAAATTCGATACAAAGGTCAAAAATGAGAAATTTTTATAGAGCAAATCTTGAAAGAAAACTATAGATCCCACACCTCTCCTGTGCAGCGCTGCCAAACTCCCTCACGCAATCAGCGTAGCCGGCACGCAGTGCAACTGAAGGGATGTCCTCGGGAGACCGACGGCAGTCCTGGGGAGGGCAGCATTTCCATGCAAGCTCTTCCCCGACTAATCCAATTCTCCCATTCTCACTGGAGCACAGGGACAGGCAGAAAAGCCAGCAAAACCCTGGCCGTGCTGACAAGGAGTTATTCCTACCAGTTTTTGTTCCCAGGGGACCTCTTGTACAGGTGCTGGGTCTCTGGGATGGGGCATCTGCTGCCAGTCTGACATCTGATGCCACAGGAGAAGGGACTTTCAGCCGTTTAACGCTCAGTGAAATCATCAGCTTGTTTAACCCTCCCCAGACTGAGACTTTCTGCACTACCTGTCCACGAAAAGTTTAAATTCATCTTCACAAGCACTAGAACAAGTTGTTCTTAAGCTGTGCTTGGCTGCTCCTGTCTCAGAGCTTCTGCAGCCAAGGGCTTTGCCTGGTTTCTTTTCAACACCTCTGCCAGGTGGCCTAGTAAAACCTGTTAGCCACGTCTGCAGGGTCTCCCACACAGCCATCCCCAGGCCACAGCACAGCCAGCACGATGGTTGGGCAGCATTCAGAGTCTGCATTTGAACTGGCTGTTCTGTTTTGGCACATGTGAGGGGTAATCATTGCTCTTGGTAATTGTGCTTGCTGCAACTGAGCTAGCAAGTTGTTTGGGTGGCTTGAGGACTAGTTATAAAGCTCAGAAAAGAGTTCTCACTGATCACAGCAGCAGTTTGTGAAGGTGTTTTCCAGCTGTGCTACCAATTCTCTGTTTGCTCCTGCTTAGGATCCTATTTACCCTGTATTTTCTCAGGTGGGAAATGAAGGAGGAGATCCTCCCTGGCTCGCAGTAAATGCTGAAGTTCAGTTCTAGAACATCCATACAGTCCTGCAAGCCACAGAGCTACACATACTACAGCACAGGTCACTGAGAGGCCACCCTCTTAACCAGTCCTTTTTGGCAGAAATGGTCAAAGAGAGTTTAAATTGTTGAACACCATGAGCAGAAATCCTTTTGGTGATTGCTGTGGCAACAGTAATACTGAGAAGCTCATCGCTTGGCTTTAGCGCAGATGTCAGATGGCTCTTGGGTTTTATTTTTCCACCACTGACCTACTAGGAGTTGATTTTTTCAAAGCGCTGCTGTCTCGCAAGACAGTCCTTGGCAAAGCAAGGTAACCACGTCTCGTGGCAGGATAACCGTGCTGCGTTTCCTCTTGAGCACTCGGGTTAACAAGGAGCACCGACTGCTTGTCTTCCAAAGAAACCCACTTCACTGCTGCCTGTGTGGCTTACGTGTCACTAGAAGTTGATGGGTTTCATCCACCTTCCTCTAAAATTACAAATGAGAGGCTTTCCTGTCTGCACCGTGTTACGGATCTTTGCTTTCTGTGGAGCAGCCCAAACAGCTGAGCTCCGCACCGCCCTTCGGATGCAGGGCAGTTGCTAAAGACCCGTTCCTGGCTGGCCAGCACAGCAGTATGAGCCCCCGCCTAGGGTGCGAGGCAAGGCAAACGCAGCCTGAGTTATCCCTGTGGTTCCGCCGTGGGTTTGCTTTGGAGCCGGGTAATTTAACCTTACTGCATGCAGCCGTTTCTCAGCTGTACAACAGGGGCAGCGGTGTTTGTGTTACAAATTTCCATCCTGGTTATATGGGTTCCATTTTCTGATCCGATTAAGGCTGCTGAGATCAGGGGAAGTGCTCAAGCCAGCAGCCTCCTGGCTTGCAGCAAAGGCTGGTGCTCCCCAGACTCCTGACTCTCTGCTCCTTTCCCCTGTCCAGGCAGCCCAAAGCTTTTTATAGCCCGCAGTCATGGAAGGGTGGGGTGAAAAATATTTGCCACCAGCTCTGATGCCTGTGCTGAATAAACGTGCATGGCTTGGACAGGTCCTGTCCCACCGCATGTTAGCTGGGACTGTGGATTGTGCTTTATCATCAGCCCTGGAGAAGGAGTTCATGCGCTGGGAGAAGCACAGTGAGGGGTCAGTCCTCGCTCTCTGCAGGCGATGGGCTCACAGCAAAGTGTGGGCACTGGGCAGGGAGGAAAGGTCCTGCATTAAAGCCAGAGGGTCTCCAGTCATCAGGAGAGCACCTGGGGCTACAGCAAGGCCAAGACACGTTTCCCACTGCTGTAGACACTAAAGGAGCTTCCCAGGGCAGCGGGGTTTGCTGCCGTCCCCCAACCCACCGGCTGCGCCTCTGCAGAAGAGAAGGGCTGGAAGCCGGTCCCAGCTCTTCCAGGTTTGGCAGCGGGGTTGTGTGACCAGCCGGGGTCGGAGGGATCACTGCGCGTCATGTGCTCAAAGGACAGAAACACAGCCCTGCCCCACCTGGCCACGGGGCTCCCAGCCACAACCGCTACCCAGCTCCTGGTTAGCACCAGGCCACAGCCCTCGCGCTTTGGGCACTTACCCCGGGGAAGCGGAGCGGGGACGCTGCTTCAGCCAGGAGCACACGCCGCACTGTGAGTGCATCCGTTTCCAAAGCACAGAGACGCTTCCAGCAAGGCCCTTTTGGGGGAAGGGGAGGAAACGCCGCTTTTTTTTTTTGACTTCCCCAGTATTGTTTTACACTAGAAGCTTTTGACAGCACGTGGCTGCGCCCACCACCCTAGAGGCAAGATGCTGTTGGGGCACTGGTCCCTTGCTAGATAAAGTCTCCCCAGGGGCTGGTGGGAGGTCTGGTCTTCATATGGTGCCAGCAGATGGAAGCAGAGGATGGCCCCAGTCAATTCAGCAGTACAATACGATTTACAGCAAGCACGTTTCTCAAGACATCTGCAAGGACAGAGCTTCATTGAGCATCATATATACACAGACAGCAGAGGAGGCTGGGCTGAGCCCTCTGCTGCCCCGAAGCAGTCAAGGTGGACTCTCGGGATGGGGGAAAAAAGTAACACTGGTTTGCTTTTACATACTGTACATATATCTACTAATAGCTCCTTGGCATTTGATGTTCACAGCCGGTTTGGTTTAACGGTGAGCATAAAATGGAGGCAAAACATCTTCAGCTAGTTCCCCCTGGGAGAAGAGAGAAAGCAGCATCTCCTGCTCCCCCAGCTCAGCTGCCTGCCCAGGTGCCACCTTCTCCAGGGATGTCTCCTTCTCCCAGCACCCTCCTTCTCCTCATCAGCCGCCCACTGCGTGCCGGCCGGGGCCAGTCCCAACCCGCGCCGTGCTTGCCCCATCTCCGCTGCTCAGTGGGATCAGTGCAAGTCTCCGTCGGCTGCTCTGCACCTCCGCTCCGCTGGACGGGCAGATGAACCGGGTTCGAGCAGAAGGAAACAAAACAAAAGGAAGAAGAACAGAGACAAAGGGTAATGAAAACGTCCGTGGCCCACAGCTGCCAAAGGAAATCTCTCGACGTGATTCTCTGACCATACTTGTCCCAGCCACTACAGCTGCTGTGGGATA